TAAGGATTAATGTCCTGATGGCAAGAACAATTAATAAGTGAATTCAGAAACTCTGTGTGCTCCAACATTGGAGGTTTTAAAGAAGAGATTGGACAGTCATTTGTCCAGAATGATACATGGTCTCCTGCTTGATCAGGGGATTGGATTAAAAGACCTCCAAGGTACCTTCCAACTATGTTATTCTGTTGTCTTAGCCAGTTCCAGTAGGAAAGGCGATAAACTGGCATGTTGTGCAATAATGTGTTGTTGCATAGACAGCTTAAATCCTTGTATCCTGCATTCTGGATAATAGAAAACAGATATGTTGCAGTTTGTCTGATCCTTCTTAAAATGTAATACCTGGAATTGAACATAGTGCCTGGGATGGGGTCTGACCAATATAAAATAAAATAGAATTCCTATCTTTGGAAGCTATACCTCAATAGTGCAACTTAAAATTGCATTTGGCTATTTTAGCCATATTGCTACTGATCCATACATAGCTTGAAATCAACTACTACTACTAGCAATTTTGTACACATTTTATTACTTTAGCCAAGTACTGCTCTTCCTATAAATGTGCATTTGATTTTTCCCCATTACATTTGACTCTGTTAAATTTAATTGTTACATTTAGCCAATTATAATTTTGAATCTTACTTGTGTTTTTAGAATATTAGCTGTTCCATCCAGTTTTGCACCATCTGATAAGCCTTTAATCCAGCTCTTTCTCTGAATCCTTATAGAAAGTGTTGAAGAGTACTTGGCTCAGAACCAAAATCCATGTCATCTCACTCCAGATTTAAAGGGAAACTACTTTTCAACAACTTAAGTATGATTTTTAAGCTACTTATGGATCTATCCAATTTATATGCTATCCAGGTAATATTTAATTATTTTGTTAATAAAAATGTAGCTATATGGTATAATGTTTTGCTGATGTCTACACTAGTCCCAGATCCTACTACGGAAATTATCTGATGAAAAATGTAATAAGATTAGCCTGACACAACCTGTTCTTGACAAATCCACCACAGATACTAGCTATTATTGGATTATTTTTAAGTTGTTTACAAACCAACCGCTTTCTAATTTATTCTGTAGATCCCTAGATCCTTCTTACTTCGCTTTTTGAAGAATAGCCTTTGTAATCCTCTGGTTATCTGGTATGTCACCAATTCATGAGTTTTTCTTAGGTGGATTGGATCAGCAAGACTGAAGCTGTTGGAGATGTGAATTCCTTCAAGGGCAACACATACTCCCTGACTGTATTTCTATCAAACGCAGGCTACAATTCCTCTCTCCCACCAACACCCCATAACTGCTCCATGGAACACATATCCTCTTTTGAGGTCTTTTCATAGAAGGGTGAGGATCTCACTGTTAGAATGTAAAGGCTGTCTGAAAATTAAACCTGGGGAGCATGAAGCTTCAGCTTACTGGAAACAAACAGAAAGTTCATTTGAAAATAAATGAAACACGCCCCCCCACCCCAGCTAATTCTAAAGGATAGATCAAAGCCTGGTATCAAGAGTAGCTTTTCTCTCCTTAATCAGTTTGTACACCATATGCACATTCTACTGGTATCTAACTCTGAAAAATGCATCGTGACATGACAGAATTAGACAACTGGTGCACCTGGTTTTTATATTCTCAAAAGTGATACATATACTACTAAACTGTTCTCTAAAAAGGAAGTAGCTATAATATTATTTCTGTGGGTAGTGATTTCCTTTTTCAGTTGTGTTCCTTTGTACATATCACTGCAACCCCTAGTTGTTTACTTCTGAAAAAGCCAAAATAAAGCAAGTATGGGTTGGCCAATTTAGATTTGTTTGTAGCTTTATTTATACTGGTACATGCTGTACATACACACATACACACACATACACACCAGAGGTGATATTCAGCAGGTTCTAACCTGTTCTGGAGAACCGGTAGCAGAAATTTTGAGTAGTTCGGAGAACTGACAAATACCACCTCTGACTGGAGATTTTACAGTATCCTTCCCGTGCCACGCCCACCAAGCCATGCCCACAGAACCGGTAGTAAAAAAATTTGAATCCCACCACCGACACACACACACACACACACACATGCAGACTACTTCAGTTTGGATGACTCTGGGCAAACCAATACAAAATGAATATTTCCATACCTTAAAAACAACTATCAAGATTATAATAATATTTTTAGAGGGTTGGGTGGAACACACAAAGCAGACTAGACATGAGTAGTAAACTACAAACCAATCATGTTTTCTCATTTGTTAAGTCACAGTTTCAACCAGAAAGCCAGCAACGTTTTCAGATTGCATGTTACTTCCCTAAAAAAAACCCTCAAGGTTTATTCGTTGAACAATATACCAAGTAAAAAAGCAATACCACTTAGCTAAATTCAGTCATTTTACAATGTAGCTAAACCATGTCACTGTTCAAAAAACTTGTGACAAAAGGCCTGTCCACATTCTACCTTCTTTTATCTTCACTGGGAGAATCCTGTCTATGCAACCAATATTTTGCTCCAGGTGCCTTTAAACATTTGCAATAACTGGCATAATGAATCAGCAGCTGCTCAAACTACCTGTGGTGGGACAGAGAATTTCAGTACAATACTGAATTAAGATCTTTGTGGGGGAAAAATGCTACAAAGAAACGGTGATGTCAGGCTGTGCTTCCTTGAAAATAGCCAAAATCAATTACAGGTAGTCCTTGACTTACAACAGTTCATTTAGTGACCGTTTGAAGTTACTACGTAATTGAAAAAAGTGACTTATGGCCGTTTTTCACACTTACAATCACTGCATCATTCCCATAATCTTGTGATCAAAATTTGGATGCTTGGCAACTGCTTTATATTTACGACAGTTGCAATGTCCCAGATCCATGTGATCACCTTTGGGGAATTTCTGACAAGTAAAGTCAATGGGGAAGCGAGATTCACCTAACAACCATGTTGCTAATTTAAGCTCTTCAATGATTCAATTTAACAACTATGGCAAGAAAGTTCGTAAAATGGGGCCAAATTTACTTAACAACAGTTTCACTTAGCAATGGAAATTTTGGGCTCAATTGTGCTCTCAAGTCGAGGACTATCTGTAGTGTGATATTTTTTTATCCTTCAGCTAATTTTTTTTAAAAAAAAATCCAGTTAATTAGTGCTTGTGGATATGTAACAAAGTAGGATTGCATTATCACAAGGGCAGGTTCTCTGGCTTTGAATCAAGCATTTCAGGCAGCAGAAGATACAAAACTTATTTTATAGAAGACCATTTTAAGAGTAGTTAGAATCTCAAAAAGGTTAATTCAGTAACCATATAATAACTCTACAAAGTCTTGGATTTAGTCTAAACATGGATTGCATTTTTGGGACTGTTGCTTGGATTGCAGTCTTGGGTTTAATCTAAAAATGCAATTTACCTTTCAATTCTATGGTTTAGATCATGTGACGTATCATATTCCCCCCCCCTCCCATTCACTAAACCAGGTGTGGGCGTGGCCAGCGCGTGATGCATCTGGGCTGGCCCACGGGCTGCAAGTTTGACAGCCTTGGTATAGATTGATGTTTCTCAACCCTGGCAACTTTAAGACAAATGGACTTTAATTCCCAGGAAAACTTATTAGATGAAATGAACTGAGGATATCCAGTCCCTCACTTTGCCCTCTTTGCTGCTAAGTCATCCAATATTTCAAACAGGGAAGAGAGTCAGGCTGAAACAGTACAGAAGCAGCTAAAGTCTTCCAATCCCCAAACTCTGGGGATAAGCAAGTATAATCCTTACATGGTCTCTTATTAGAGATTAAGCCTCTGATTAGGCTGGAATTTCATTTGCACCCTTGAAGCAAAGTGCATGTCCACGTCAGGAACCACAGCAACTTTCCAGCTCTACTTAAGCTCCTTTTGATAATTACAGCTATGTACCTACCACTGGAAGCACTGTGACACCACCTGGCACCAAGCCCATGTTATTTCTAAGAAAACTGACACTGTTGAACAGCTATAGTAGAAATCCATCTCGTAGCAGCTGCAGGGCAAACAAAACCCAACCTCTGCAGATTTATTGTCGAAAACCACTATTTACTTTCTTATCCTTGTTAATTCTAAAAGGAACTGAAATCTGTGCCAGCTTGTACCAAGAGAATAACAAGTCACATAAAATGACAAAACATTATTATTACCTGCCTGCAAATTTATGACACAAATACTAAGTCTTGGAGAGTTGTAGTTAAACTATAAAGGTTTTTCTTGTTAGAAACTCCCCTCAAGGGACATCCAATGGTTTTGGGAATGTCACCACTTATAGGCTGCCATGTTAATATATCTTATGAAAGGCATCTGTAATCTTTTGCCAAAAGTGCATTAGATGTTATGGTACACATTGTAATGAAAGAAGACAGGTTGTTCTTTAACAATACACTTTGGCAACGAACCCCATCTCGTGCCAGAAGAAATGGCAATTCCGTTTGTGTCCTTAAGACAGGGTCAGCATTTGTGGTATCACTTTGCAGATCATTGGCACAAGGTTGAGGAAATGAATGTTACCAGCAGGAAGAAAACAGAAGAATGCAGTTCAGCGATACAGGCAGCGTGTACCAGTGGAAAGTTATATTTGGATCCAGCTCTAAATAAGCAATGAAACTATTGGTTAAATTTTTAAATAATGCAAACAGCTGAATACAACAGAGTGCTTTTTTCATTCTGAAAATAATGCACTGGACAAAAACAACATGCTATTTTACAATAGTATTTATCAAAAGGAATACTAAGCAGCAAAATTCAATACTGATACACTTTGAAGCTTCCCTCTGATATGCACTAATTCCTGATACATACACAATTGGTTCTTTTGTTCAGCAAATTCAATTCCTGCTTCTTAGTACATGATTTACAGATCAAAAGCTCTAAATAGGCAAATACTTAAATAGCGATTAGGGGACAATTGAAAGGAAAGGAAAAATAATCTCTAGGTTTCTCCTTATGATTAAAAATGTTTCAGTATCTCATGTTTCTGTAAAAGTATTTTATTCACTATTCATAGTATTTTATTTTTAACTCCATTCTATACTCTTGAATTGAGGAATGTATAAAGTGATTATAAAATAAAAGCACAATAGCAATTACACATTGGATATAAATGCTATGTCTCTTACATAACAACTGGAATAAACACAAAATAACTTGAAAATTTGAAAACTTAAATCATCCTCAGCAAAATGCAAGTTAGCAGATGTTATCAAGAGACATCTGGCTTTCTGAGAACATACCCTTAGAAAGCACTGTGAACACTCCCAGGGTTGGGATACAGAACTCGTCATGATTCTTGGTAATCTTCTTTCCTACGTTTTTGAATATGCAGAAACCTTGGCCTGGATAGAAATAAGACAAATCACAACATTAAATCTTACTAAAGAGTATAGAAGTTAAAAAGGGAGCTTTGTAAAAGTTTAAAAGTCTAGCACATTTTACAGAATGAGCTTTCTTGGAGTTTATTAGATGTTGAAAGTTTTATGATCCCTTAATAATATGCAAGAGTGGTTTTTAACTAAGAGCTGTGGGTTACAAAGAGTTCATTTTAAATCCGCTTAGTATAGGATTGTTTGTATCTGGAGACAAAGGTGTTAATTAATTTTTTCATGCTGTAAATACATTTCCAAGCTCTTCTTAAATTTCACGAGAGTCATTTTACTACTCCAGGTGTTCAATGAATAGAATAAAATACAATATTTGGCTCAACTTCTGCATAATATACAAATAAACTGAAACAGGTTCAACCACATTTCACCATATTCTATGAAGGAAGCAACATCTCTTTTCAAAGTTTCCTATGCTAAGTGAATAACTGCAGATGTTAAATTAGTGACATGGTTGTTAAGTGGCTGTGACGTCCCCATTGACTTCGCTTGTCAGAAGGTCGCAAAAGGGGATCACATGACTTTGGGACACTGCAACCGTTGTAAATATGAGTCAGCTGCCAAGCAAGTGAATTTTGATCATGTGACCATGGGGATGCTGCAACAATTGTGAGTGTGAAAAATGGTCATAAATCACATTTTTCAGTGCCGTTGTAACTTTGAACAACCACTAAACAAACTGTTGTAAGTTGAAGACTACCTTTACGGTGGGTTGCCTATAGAACTTGGTACATGAGTTCTAGAAGAAGCTTGCTACATAAAGAAAGAAGAAAAATGAAAATCTAGGAATCCGCTAACTCTTACTTTCCATAGACGTCCTTGTGTGTAGCAGATACAAAGAGGAACAAATCCGGATGACTGGACAGCCAATTTGTTACCATTTGGGGGTGTCTGGGGTCAACCTCCAAATACACACTCCTGAAAGAAGAAAAAAACAACCATCTTGATTAAAACTTGCTTTAATGAAAAATACACAAGTTAGCATGCTATGAATGTGGAGTTTTACAAATGTAAAAACATATTGGGGTGGTTTTTGCAACAATTCAAAGACATTAAACTTCCAATTTAACCAAGAGCCATGGTGGAATGTGCTGAAATGAGTAAATTGACATTTGAAATTAGAGAACAAGAAGATTTTATAAGATTTGGGATCTATTTTATCAATGGCTAGAAAATAAAATAAGGTAATGAAATATGTGGAATTTTACAATATAAGGAGAATAGAATTATATATAATATAAAGATGTATTATTATTGGATGGTCTCAGCTACTCTTCAGCACAAATGCAGGGAGAAAATAAGACACTCTTCGCTTCAGTATTTTGTAACACAAAAGCTTATTTTTTATTCCTTCCTCCGCAAGGAGTCCGAGATGATAGCTAAGCAACCAAAATAAAGTTGGATCTAACCCGAGTTTCCTGGGACTCGATATTTATAATGATTTCCCCTCCTTACCCTTCATTACCCGATTACCCTTATTACCCATGATTGCCGTTTTTAATGATAATTATTCATATGAACTGAATCACATGAATCGTGATGAATGCATAGAGTTTCACCTCACAGTATTTTACATAGACCGTGCATATAATTATGATGCAGAGTTTATTCTGATGAAGAGGAATGCCATCCTTCAGGTCGCTGTGGCTTCGATGCAAACGCGTGTGTTGCGTAGTCGCGACAGATGGATTTAGGATGATAATATGAATTGTTATAATATAAATCAATTTAAAAATATGGAATATCTCGCATAACATGAAGGAACAATAGTACAGTCAAATGAATGATTAACAATGATAATAATATATTCAGAAATATTTGATTGATAATATGAGAATATATACAAATAATTTTAAATGAGAACTATGGAGAGGAACTACAAAAAATTTGTAACCAACCGACACACTGTATGTACATAATTGGAAGATGGCTTTATGTTTTTATGTTTTGTTTGTGTATGTTTGTCTAAAAATTAAAAAAATTAAAAAACAAAAACCAAGAGCCATGGTGGCACAGTGGTTAGAATGCAGTACTGCAAGCTACGGCAGTTCGATTTTCACCGGCTTAAGGTTGACTCAGCCTTCCGTCCTTCCAAGGTCAGTAAAATGAGGGCCGAGAATGTTGGGGGCAATATGTTGACTCTGTGAACCACTTAGAGAGGGCTGTAAAAGCACTGTGAAACGGCATATAAGTCTAAGTGTTATTATTATTATATTTATGGTTTGCTTTTGGCAGCTTTTTGATTTTATTATGCTCATGAGTTAAATGAAAAATTGGATAAATGCTGATGCAATCATATGCCCCCTAGGTAGAGGTCTCACAGATCAGACCCTAGGTTATGAGAAAGAAATCTCCCAGATAATCATGCAGTAGATCCTATATTCTTGTAGAAAAAAATCCATTTAATGCAGTAAAATCCATTGTTATTCATCCCTTTCTTTTATCTGAGGAAAATAAACTCTATTTCTTTTATTATATAAACTGATGAATATTTATAAGAATAGTACTAGTTCAAAGTTTGATGAGGTCTGACCCTCAGAGGGGTAGCTTTTATCCAAGTGACTTCCCCATTTTCTTGTGCCAGCTCCTCCCTTCCATCAAAGCAATTCAAGCATTTTTATTGTAATTCATTTCTTCACTTATAGAAATGTCTTTTGTGAACGTGGATTATGCAGTCACATCACTGTAAGTTTTTCAGTTTTTGGTTTTTCCAGTTTTCCAGTTTCTTTTATTTTTCTTGTTGCATATATTGATTTATTTTTAGATTGTAAGACACCAGAGATTTCCCTGGAGATCTCATTAGCTCATCCCCTTTTATCATTCTATCATTTAGAATCGTGTGCATCTTCTCAGGTCTTTTTGTTCAGCAGTTCATTCTGCACGAATGCTTTACTGACATCCCATACTATTTTATCATCAGTACACATTGAAATTATTCTCAAAAAAATTAAGTCTCCTTTTACATTTTCCCACTATCAATTTATATTGTAGTATATTTCATTTGATCTCCATCTATAAGTCCCATTTATAAATCTTCTTGTATATTCAAGTCACTAAATTATGGACAGAGAACATTTTTGGCAATATTTCAACTTCATTAACACAAGTGGCCAAATTTTGATTCTATTCTGGAGAAAGATGTATGCCTTTCTGAAAAATACGTATATTCTTTAGAATCAGCACTTTTATGTCTCCATATATTAATTAATTCAAGATTAGTCATCATTTTGAAATGTAATTTTGGTAGTTTATGCTGCACCATTTAAATTCCATTCATTGATGCTCTATTTTGTTGTGGGCAAGCTACTCAGTCCCAGTCTCCCACTAGGCGCCAGTTTACATATGACAGCCCCATTAATTTTCATTCAAGTCCATTGAAAAATGCAGCTTTATTTTAGTTTGGAGCATAAATTCCCACTAAAAGGATCTTACTTGTATTTAAATGGTACAAGTAGTCCTTGACTTACAGCAGTTTGTTTAGTAACTGTTCAAAGTTACAACGGCATTGAAAAAGTGACTTATGACTGTCTTTCACCACTTAAGACCATTGCAGCATCTCTATGGTCATATGAACAAAAATTGGATGCTTGGCAATTGGTTCCTATTTATGATGGTTGCAGTGTCCTGGGTGTTGGGCTCCGAGTTCGCTACAGAGCCCATCAGCTCCGAACATGCCTTGCAGCAAGTCAGCTGGCAGTGGAGAATGTCACCTTATATCTGCTGATGCTGGATCTGTATTTCTGTTTGCATGCTGGCCGATGGTGTGAGGGTCACTTTGGAATGACTTGGCAGAGCTTTGGCTACACTACAGGATGGATTCTGAAGCAACTGCTGGACTGCAGGGTGGATTCTGAAACAACCGAGGGGCTGCAGGATGGATTCTGAAACTGCAGGGCTGCAGGATGGAGTCTGAAGCAACTG